AGAGTGTAGTAGTGTATAGTAGTGTAGAGTGTAGTAGTGTAGTGTATAGCAATGTAAAGTAGTAGTGTATAGGAGTGTTGAGTGTAGTAGTGGTGTATAGTTGTGTAGAGTGTAGTAGTGTAGTGTATAGCAATGTATAGTCGTGGTGCATAGTGTAGCGTATAGTAGTGGTGTATAGTGTAGTGTATAGTGTAGTGTAGCGTATAGTAGTGTAGTGTATAGTGGTGTATAGTGTAGCGTATAGTAGTATAGCGTATAGTGTAGTGTATAGTGTAGCATATAGTAGAGGTGTATAGTAGTGTAGTGTATAGCAATGGTGTATAGTAGTGTAGTAGTGTAGCAATGTACAGTGCTGTATAGTGTAGCGTACGGTAGTGGTGTATACAAGGACGCCGTAAAGGGGTGGAAGGTTAGGACGATTCTAAGGGCCCAGGCTGATTTAGGGCCCGGAAGAGCAGACCCCCTTTTTCTTTTCTTATTTCTTTTCTCTTTTTTATACATACATTAAATGTGCTAGGGCCCTTCATGCACTAAATGTGTATTGTGTCCGTTTTGACCATAGATTTAATATTTAAAAAAACAAATAATGTATTTACTGTTTCAGTCACACCCCTCCCCCTCACAATGGTTCATTCCACCTGCGCTGTCCGAGCTACGATCGCTAGTGTAGCGTCTCTTGCTTATTGCACTTGCTATGATGCAGTGCAGACAGTGACACACGCAGGCATGTCACGTCAAAAGTCAGGGCATCAAAAACGGAAAGAAAAGAAGGAAAGAGAAGACAAAGAACGCCGAAGTCGAGGGTATGTCACTCAGTTTTTTTTTCAAAAAGAAAGGTAGCTTGCCCTATTCCTGTATTCCAAAACTTTCAGAGTTACTTATTTTTGTTGCTACATGACCTCCTTTTATCTAGCTAGCTTTGTAAAAATAATTACTGAATTATGATTTACATCCAACAATAATAACATCTCTGCTGTCTCCGGGGTTATCATGTCTCGTAGACAGATTCAGCGGCTGCTGCACACCCACGTCCTCCTTCCCCCACGTCCCCCGTCTCAGCCGAACAAGGTGAGCCTGAGCGCGAAACTTCACGAAGATTGAAGCCTCTAAACACGTCTTATCTACTGTGTTCGCCACATGATGATAACTTTACAAAACAAAAAGCAATCTACACGCTTCAAAAATTACAAAATCAGTTTGCCGTGTGTGTGTCGTGTGTTCTGTGAAGTGACAGTGCTACTGCTACGATCGATGCTGTCAAACTTAACGTTCTTAATGTAAATAAAATGCCCCAGAAAAAAATAATATAAAATTGAATAAAACATGTGTCTGTAGTAACCATTGGCTATAAGGAGTTTCCAAAATAGATATTTTAATATTTTATATTAAGAAAACAAAATAGGCCAATAAAAATAATATGGTTATTATTACGTGTGTGTGTGTTTGACTTATACAGATGCAGAGTCAGCTTTATTGTCTGCACCTCGTTCTCCTACTAATGACCCAGTCCTCTCAGTGTCAGGTAAGGTGAACATGGTCAGCTACCAAGGTAGTAAAAAACTTAATTAAGTTTTGGATTGTCTAATTTTTTTCTTGTGTTGTATAGTTATATGTTTCATATAATATTATTCAACAATGCAGTTAAGAAAATATTAATTCTAAGCTGTAACTTGTTTTTGACTGGGGGACAAAAATGATTTTGCTATCCTAACCCCACAGAAACAAGAGAGAGACAGAGTTTTGCCAGGAAAGAGTGTGGGAGTTGAGGAAGCGGTGAGAATAGTGGAATATGAGAGCACAGAGGGAGCCCTAAGTGTAAAGGAAGATAACAGAAGAGAGGAAGATGAGAGAACAGAGGAAGCCATGAGAGCAGACTCAGAAGAACATGAGAGAACAGGGGAAGCCATGAGAGCAGACTCAGAGGAAGATGAAGAAGAGACTATTGTGTCAAATGATCCTGGTTTGTGGCCAGCAAAAATTAGCAATGCAGACAGAGAAAAAAATTGTGGAAAAAATAGCTTCTTCTAAAGATAAAGAACAAGAAATGCCACATGATTCAAAAGGTAAAGCCTTCCCCGAATACCTCAAGTACACAAAGTCAGGAAATTGCAGGGAAAAGATTAAGAGAGACTGGGTCATTTACAGCCAAAGCACAAATGCACTATTTTGTATTCCTTGTGTATTATTTGGTCATGAGCTAAAGAACCCTTGTATGAGCGCACTAAGCAGTCAACATGGTTATAAAATCAAAGACATAACATGGCGTCGAATGTATGATAAATTCCCTAACCACGAAAGCAGCAAAGCACACAGGGAGTGCTACTTAAAATGGAAAACCTTACAACAGTCTGTAATGGCAGCTGTCCCTGGGGGAATAGACAGCAAGCTGAAAGAAGCTCATACAAACAGAAATGGACAATAATAGAGCTATTCTGAAGAGGATACTAGATGTAACCTTGTTCTTGGCCTCTCGAAATTTACCCTTTAGGGGTAAAACAAAAGACTTGGGGGACATTCATAGTGGCAACTTCTTGGGCACCCTTGAGCTCCTGTCCCATTATGACCCACTACTCAACGAACATCTACAAAAAGTCAGAGACAAAAAAACAGGAACAAGATTGACACACTATTTAAGCTCAGATATTCAGAACGAATTTATGGAGTTATGTGGAAAACGAGTGTTAAGTAGTATTCTTAAGGAAAGGGAGGAATCAGTCTATTATTCAGTCATTTGCGATGCTACTCCTGATATTTCACATACAGAGCAAAATGTATTACTATTACGATATGTAGGTTTTGATCAAGAAAACAAGAAATGGGAGGTTGTTGAAAGGTTTTTGGAGTTTAAAGATTTTCACAAAAAAACAGGAAGTGAGATTGCAGACATAATTGTAAATGTGCTTAACAGTCATGGCATAGATCTGAATGACTGCAGGGGCCAAGGCTATGATAATGGGGCAAACATGTCTGGAAAAATGAAGGGGGTTCAAGCCCAATTATTAAAAAAAGAATAAGCTGGCTACTTTTTCCCCTTGTGCGTCTCATACTCTGAACCTTGTTGGTGTGCATGCAGCTCAATCAAGTCCAGAGGTTACCAACTTTTTTGGCTTTGTCAATCGCCTTAATGCACTTGTCAGTGCCAGCCCAGAGCGATTGGCCATCTATAAGGCAAAAACGGGTTGCACTTTACATCGTGTCAGACACTCGGTGGAGTGCAAGGGTTAAGGCTGTTCAACCTATAGCCAAGCACCTGCCCAGTGTCCTAGAAGCTCTTGATGCCATCCTCTCAACCTGCAGTCTGACACCAGAGGCTCGGTCTGAAGCCAGCGGCCTAAAAAAGTATTTTGAAACTTTTGATAGTTTTTCTGTTGACTGTTTGGGTCAAAGTTCTGCAAGCCATTGACAAAAGCAATATTATTCGCCAGTCAGGGAAATTAACTCTTGAGACAGAGGCAGAAAATATCAGAGCATTGCAGGAGATGCAACATCTGAGGGATGAATGGGAGAGTTTCTTTTCTGAAGCATCACTTGTTGCCCAACAGATGCGCATTAACCCTCTGTTTAGGTCAGGATTCAGCCGCTAGAGGAAAAGAAAACGGTTTCACGATGAGACAGAGGTAGAGGGAGCAAGGGAGCACAGTGCAGACACCATATTCAGAAACACTGTGTTTCTTCCCATGATGGACCACATAATCAATGACTTAAGTACCAGGTTTGCCACAACAGCTGAGATCTTGGATCAGTTTTCTGTAGTTGTAAAAATGGGTCAGTTACGTGATGATCAAATCCATTCTGTATGCCAGCCATTGATTTCAAAATACAACACTGATCTGACTTGTGAATTTGAAGATGAAGTCAGACACCTCAACTCTGTATATAGGACCACTTTCCCAGGGTGTCTGTCACCAATTTATCTGCTGAACAGCATTTACAAGATGCAGCTGCAGAGTATTTTTGGGCAGGTCTGCATAGTTTTGCGAATATTTTGCACACTGCCTGTGACCGTTGCTGGTGGCGAGAGAGCATTCAGTAAGCTGAAACTGATATAAAATTATCTGAGGTCTGCTATGTTGCAGGATAGACTTTGTCACCTTGCCATACTATCCATTGAAAGCAAACTGGCAAAAAGCTGAACTTTGATGATTTGATACGTGATTTTGCCAGCAGAAAGGCATGCCGCTGGGCCATTATAAAGTGATGTTGAACATAACTTTGTTAGACCTGGATAACAAACAGTTGATGTCCGATTCAGTACTTGTTTAGTCCTGGACTGGTTTAGGCCTGGCATTACTCCTGGTGTGTCTTCATTTTGAGCCCTTAGTTTTATTCCTGGACTGATTTAATTATGGGTTAGTTCGAGCTGATGTTTCCTGATTGAGCAGTTTGACCCAGCTCAAGCTTGTTCATGTAAAGTATATGTCAATGTGTGTACATTATGTTCTGTTGTGCTTGCAATTGCAATTGAGATAATAAATGTTCTCCCTTTTATGTAAACAAGTACATATTTCTATATTTTTTTCTTGTTTTTGTAGGCTTTGTACTCATCTTTAGACATTTTAACTATGCAATGTGCTAAGTATCTTTTTTAAAGTATACTGGGCATGTTTATTGGGTTAAATTTTATCTGTAAAAAATGTAGGGGGCCCAGAAATTTTGGTTTCCATAGGGCCCAGAATTTCTGGCGGCACCCCTGGGTGTATAGTAGTGTATAGTAGTGTAGTGTATAGTAGTGTAGTGTATAGTAGTGTAATGTATAGTAGTGATGTACAGTAATGTTGTATTCTATGATTTTTTTTTCTACGTGCTTTTACCGAAAGAACCCGAGAGTAATGTAGTGTACAGTAGTGTAGCGACATGACGTCCCTGTCGGGTCTGTACACACATAACGTCACTGCACTGTTGGGTCTGTATGCGTGACGTCACCGCCTGTTCGGTATGGAGGCTGTTGGTGGGTGCCACGGGGGTTGCGTCGGGCCGTGGGTTCGTGAAGGGGGGCGTGGTCAGGGTGTGGGCCCGGCCACGCCGGAGATGCTTATAAGCGGGCTCGTCGCGCAGAGCTGCTGCTGGTTGGTGCCTGGGATGGCGCCCGTCGCACTCTGAAGAGAGAAGCCTCCAGCAATCGTGGCCAAGCAGAAGCCCTCCCTGGCTTGGCCACCGCCAAGTAGCACCCGAGTGTTAGCGTGAGTAGGGCGGTGGTCACCACCTCATTGTGTAGGGTGTGTTGCAGTTGTGTTAAATGAAGTGTTGCTTCCACACGCGTGTAAGCGCCTCCGTCGAACCATTACAGGAGGTATGTATGCACGACGAACTTCTTTCGCACCGTTACGCATTGCCAAGAACAAACTAAACGCAACAAGCAGTTCTAATGACATTCATGTTCAATCTAGAACAAATAACTCACCCATCCATTAACTCATCCACTCAACCAGATCCCAGCGAGAGTGCCCGATGTTTATTTGCATCACGTGGTGAGGGTAGATTGTTCACACAAAGACAAAGCTCCACCCCCCTTCCCGCGTGGTGATGTTCATCTCACACACCACACGCGCTTGCGTATTGTTTGAGGCCGAGTCGACCTAGGGGAGGGGGTCCCCAGGACGGAATGGGCTCGGATAGTCGCTACCTATGGTGGGTGGCTGTGCGAGTGGCGGGAATCGAACCCAGGTCCCCGCTTCTGGGGGATTCGTAGCGCGGCGCTAACCGCTGCGCCACGGCTCCACGCAGACTAGCACACATGAACTCACTCACACTCACACATTAACTCCCACTCACACACACACGAACTCACACACATGAACACACTCACACATGAACTCAGACTCACACTCACTCACACATTAACTCACACACTCACACGAACTCACACACTCGCACACATGAACTCACACTCACGAACTAGCACACATGAACTCACTCACACTCACACATGAACTCACTCACACTCACACATTAACTCCCACTCACACACACGAACTCACACACATGAACACGCTCACACATGAACTCAGACTCACACTAACTCACTCACACATTAACTCACACACTCACACGAACTCACACACTCGCACACATGAACTCACGAACTCGCACACAGGAACACACTCACACATGAACTCACACACCCACACACATGAACTCACACACTGACACACACACATGAACTCACTCGCACATTCACTCGCACATGAACTGAACTGACGCACACTCGGACAAGACTCTCCCTCACTCCGTTACCCCCTTTGCCTCCTCTCACCCCGCAGCACCACTCTCTATCTGCGTCCCCCATCTCTCCTCCCCCCTCCTCCCCCACCTCCCCTCCACCTCCCTCCTCCCCCCCCACCTCCCGATCTTCCTCCTCCTCCGTTGCCGAAGCGGCGCCCTCCTCCCCCCTCCTCCTCCCCCTCCTCCTCCCCTCCACCTCCCCCCTCCTCCTCCCCCTCCGGCCGTGAAGTTGATTTCCTCCAAATCCGGCCGCTCGTCCGCCTCCTCCAGGTTCCATCGCTTGGACGGAGGCCACGCAGCCTGCGGGGAGACGCACACAAACCACCACGACCTTCACTTGTTTGATCCTCGCTATCCGGGGAGATGATAACCACTTTGCTTGGTGTGCAGGAGATCGTGGGGGTTCGATCCCAGACCCTGCGCGATCCCAGACCCTGCGAGACGTTAACCACCTCGCCTGGTGTGCAGAAGGCCGTGGGGGTTCGATCCCAGACCCTGCGAGACGTTAACCGTCTCGCCTGGTGTGCAGAAGGTCGTGGGGGTTCGACCCCGACCCTGACGATGCCTGCTGCTGCTGCTGCTGTATATTTGGAGTCTGCGTGTCTCTCTCTCCCTGTGGTGGTCACTACGTGGACTTTTCTCCAGGTCCTCCAGGGTTTTCCCTCCACATTTAAAATCGACGTCACCACGCGATTAGAGTAGTTGGCCGCTGCTATAAATTAAAAAAATCATGATAAGCCACTTGGGTTGGGCTATCATTTGTGGTAAGGTCGTTTCTGAAAGAGGCTACATAGCTCACTGGGCCTTACCTGGTAAAATTTAAATAGCAAATAGTTAAAGTGCTGCTACTTATGAAGGCCGGAATTTTACATGAAGGGGGGTGGGGTGGCTAACACCACGCCCGGTCGCCTCTGTCTCGATCGTAGCGATGTTTACAAACTCCACCAGGTACTCATTTGAGGCCGAATCGACCTAGGGGAGGCCCAGGACCGGTTCAGATAATCGTCACTGGTGTTGGCCATGAGCAGGAAATGAACCCGGGTCGCCAGGTTCATAGCGCAGGGCGCTAATCGCAATACTACTGCTCACCCACAGACACACACAACAACAATAGCCATTCGCCACTAAGTGGCGGTGACATCACTACGACGCTGTGTCAGGCCATGTGCACCTTGAGGCGACATGAAGTCTCGAACGCCCGGTGGCAGGAGGTCATGGGGCAGACCCAGGTGCCATGGGTTGACTGAGATGACTGGCCGATACACCACCTATGTCCCCTATACTGTACCAACTTGTTGTGCGTTAGCCACCGTGCGTTGTTGTGAGCGTCGCTCCTCTGCCTTCCAATGTTGCTGGAGGGCGACTGCCTCTAATTGCCCAGTAGCAGCATCTTTCACAAGTCTCCTCCACAGAGGCCGTTCTTGACACCGCTGCTTCCAGCGGTGCCACGCCCATTTAGCCCCCTCTATCCGGCCTCACAAAAGCTGTTTAGGCATGCAGTGGCTGGGCATGCGGGCTACATGACCCGCATGGGAGTGGGAGCAGAGTCGGGGACTCCAAAAGCACAAAGAACAATCCAGAGCCCAGGCTTACTGATGGTATCATAGGCGTTGTTCAGGTCAATATAGCAGAGATGTAGGTCCTGTTGGAATCCCCTACACGGCCCTGGCCTGAAACCACACTGGGGCTCTGCAAGCCTCTCCTCAGCGTGCCTAGCAAGGCGATGTTAAATAATCCTTGCCAGGACCTTTCCCGGCACACTGCCCCTGTAGTTGTTACAGTCTGTGCAGTCCCCCTTCTTAAAGATGGGGACTGCCAGGGCATCCTTCCAATCCTATGGAACCCATCCAGTGGTCTAGACTGTTGTTATGGTGTCATGTAGGGCAGTCTGCGCACAAACGCCACCCCCTCCCTCAATATTTTGCTTGGGAGATCATCTCTACCCGGCGCTTTCCCTGGTCTCAAGACTCTGGATCGCCTTCTGTACTTCCTAAACATATGACACCTCAGCCAGCCACTCACAGGGGTTGACTACTTCTTACAATATTTGAAGCACTTCAGCCTCAGCAGGATCATCTCCAGTTTGCGCCACGATGTTTTCCAAGCTGAGGGATTTCCCCTCCCCCAAGACCTCGCAGAAATGCTCAGGAAATCTGAAAACCTATATTCTATCACCTATGATGGTGATAGGAATGGTGCTATACATAACTTCTTTGATGGAGTTAAAGAGTGATTTGTGATCGTGGGCTGAGGCAGACTCCATCTCTTCAGCAACCCGCAACCACTACCCCATCCTTGCAGTGCCACATGACTCTCCGAACCTCCAAGCAAAGGCTGCGGGGCAAGCCTCCTCATTCTCTGACGTGGCATGCTGTAAACGGTGGGAGTGGGCCTGTCGAATTTTCTCAGCCAGCCGGAACACCTGCTTTGTCAGCCAGGGTTCTTCTGTGGAGGTTTGGACCCTGTACCCAAAGCAGTTGCACGAGTCACAGTCCTAAACCTCACCCATTTCCCCTCGGTAACAGGAGGGGCGGGACGATGCCAACCCCAGCTGCAAGCAATGATGAAATTCTTGCTTGTAACTTTCAAACCTTATCTGAGACTAGGCTACTGTGGGTTTGAACAGGATTCTGGATGTACACCCACCACCGGGGTGGAAGAATGGCAAGCGCATCTTACAGATGACACACAAACACACACACAGATACTCTCACCTTCATCTCCTCCACTTTGTTCTCTGGGACGTCAAAGCAAACTCCCTACACAGAGACAGGAGACACGCTCGTGAGTACAACACTCACTCGCACGCGGCAACACAACATCAACCGCCTTTAGCCACTAAGTGGCGATGAAGTCAACCCCGGCATCCATGCCTGGCCAGGTGCACTTTGAGGCCACATGAAGTGTTGAACATCTGCTAGAAGGAGGTCACGGGCCAGACCTTGCAGGTGCCATGTGTTAAGCGACTGAGATGACTGGTCTCTCTCTCGCCCCGTGTCTCTCTCTCTCCCCGTGTCTCTCTCTCTCCCCGTGTCTCTCTCTCTCTCCCCGTGTCTCTCTCTCCGTGTCTCTCTCTATCCCCGTGTCTCTCTCTCTCTCGCCCCGTGTCTCTCTCTCTCCCCGTGTCTCTCTCTCGCCCCGTGTCTCTCTCTCTCGCCCCGTGTCTCTCTCCGCACCGTCTTTCCCTTGAGGAGCCTCATCCCGCGCACCATCTCCTCGGCGCGCTGCTCTCCCAGCTCCTCCTTGAGGGCTCTCCACGCCGCAGAGGAGTGGGACAGGGGAACTGAGGATCGGAGAATCAGCGTCGTGTAGCCCTGCACACACAGAGACACGGAGAGAGAGACACAGAGGGAATCAGTGAGTGGTGTATAGTGTGTGTAGTATCGTGTAGCCCTGCGCAGAGAGAGATACACAGAGAGAATTAGTGAGTGATGTGTAGTGTAGTGTGTGTAGCGCAGTGTGTGTAGCACAGTGTGTGTAGTATAGTGTGTGTAGTGTGTGTAGAGTAGTGTGTGTGTGTCCAGTGTGCGAGAGACATGAACAGTGAGAGAATGAGCGTCGTGTAGCCCTGCAGCAGCCAAACGCTCTAAACGCGCGATGTTGATTTTAAACGCGCGGGGGGAAAACCGGAGGATCCGGAGAGAGAGTGAGAGAGAAGCAAACTCCAAATTTACAGCAGGCGTTGTCAGAGTCCAGATAGAATCCACGACCTCCAGCACTCCAGGCGAGGTAGTTAACATCTCCTAGCCAGGGCGTGCGAGTGACACTGCTGCCGATGCTGGCGATGTGATGCTGATGAATGTGCGTTGAACGTAGCCATCTACGCTAATGGGAAGTGCGGGGGGAAGGAAAACAAACTAAACACAACAACGAGCAGTTCTAAGGAAATTCGTTTTCAATTTAGTAGTGGTGTAGTATCGTATATAGTGTAGTATATACTATAGTGTAGTGTATAGTATACGCTAGTTTATAATGGAGTGTATAGGAGTGTAGTGTGTAGTCAGTTGTATGTCTGTATGTTGAACCTCTCTCGTGCCGTAAGTAGCCAAAAGCGCAAATCGGAGGTGCAGGGGACAACACTAAACACAGCACAACAAACTAAACACAACACCGCACAGCAGGAGGAGGAAGAGTGGAGGAGTGAGAGGCGGACGAGCGAGTGAATGGAGGAGAGAGTAGAGGAGTGAGAGGAGGAGTGAGTGGAAGAGTGGAGGGGTGAGTGAGTGGAAGAGTGGAGGGGTGAGTGGAGGAGTGAGTGGAGGAGTCAGTGAGTGAGTGAGTGAATGCGTGAGTGAGTGTGTGCGTGAGTGGGTGAGTGAGTGAGTGCGTGAGTGAGTGAATGCGTGAGTGAGTGAATGCGTGTGTGAGTGAGTGGGTGAGTGAGTGGGTGGGTGAGTGAGTGGGTGGGTGAGTGAGTGCGTAAGTGCGTGAGTGCGTGAATGCGTGAGTGCGTGAATGCGTGAGTGAGTGAATGTGTGAGTGAGTGAGTGAATGCGTGTGTGAGTGAATGCGTGAGTGAGTGAGTGAATGCGTGAGCGAGCGAGTGAGTGAGTGTGTGAGTGAGTGCGCGAGTGCGCGAGTGGACGACCTTGAGGGAGGTGAGCAGGGACCTGTTGTCGTCTCCGTCGTACCCCGCGAGCAGGGAGAGAGCAGCCGACAGCAGCTCCCAGGGGTCTCTGTGGGACAGCAGCTTCTCCACAGACAAGCGGAAGCGCGAGACGACACGAGCAGAGACAGACTCCAGGGACCTGTGGACACGGGGACAGAGACACGGGGACAGAGACACGGTGAGGCGACAATGATAATGACGGTGGAAATTTAGTACTGGTACGAGTATCTGCGGTACTGGTACTGGTGGTGTTACTGGAACTGCTGGTTCTGGTACCTGATGACGTCCTGTGTAGACGCAGCGAGGACCTCATTGGCCGAGGGAACGGCGATTCTCTTGAACACGAAGCCCTGCACAGTGACACAGTGACAGAGTGACACAGAGACAGAGTGACACAGTGACAGAGACACAGAGACAGAGTGACACAGTGACACAGAGACACAGAGACACAGTGACAGAGACACAGTGACAGAGACACAGTGACACAGAGACAGAGTGACACAGAGACAGAGTGACACAGAGACACAGTGACAGAGACACAGTGACAGAGACACAGTGACAGAGACACAGTGACACAGAGACACAGTGACAGAGACACAGTGACAGAGTGACACAGAGACAGTGACACAGAGACAGAGTGATACAGAGACACAGAGACACAGAGACACAGAGACAGTGACACAGAGACAGAGTGATACAGAGACACAGAGACAGTGACACAGAGACAGAGTGATACAGAGACACAGTGACAGAGACAGTGACACAGTGACTGAGTGATACAGAGACACAGTGACACAGAGACACAGTGACACAGAGACAGAGAGACACAGTGACTGAGTGATACAGAGACACAGAGACAGAGAGACACAGTGACTGAGTGATACAGAGACACAGTGACAGAGTGACAGAGTGACACAGAGACACAGTGACACAGTGACAGAGTGACACAGTGACACAGAGACAGACACAGAGACAAGAGCACTTTCCCCTCTCTCTCTCCGTATCGTACCGCCTCGCTGTCTACTGCCCTGAGGGCACCGGCATGTATCCCTCCCTCTCTCTCTCCGTATCGTACCGCCTCGCTCTCTACTGCCCTGAGGGCACCGGCGTGTATCCCTCGCTGTCTACTGCCCTCAGGGCACCGGCGTGTATCTCTCTCTCTCCGTATCGTACCGCCTCGCTCTCTACTGCCCTGAGGGCACCGGCGTGTATCTCTCTCTCTCTCCGTATCGTACCGCCTTGCTCTCTATTGCCCTCAGGGTTCCGGCGTCTCTCTCCTGGTAGAAGCAGATGGAAATCCCAGTCCTGCCGGCTCTCCCAGTGCGCCCACTACGATGGATGTAAGACTCCACATCCTGCACCAGGGGTAGAGAGAAAGGGGGGGGGGGAGAGAAAAACGGGGGGGGGGGGGGGGGAGAGAAAGTGATTAGGTAGGTGACTGGGTGGGTTAGTGTACGTGCGTGTATGTATGTGTGTGTATGCATGTGTGCGTGTGTGTGTATGTGTGTGTGTGTATGTGTGTGTACGTGTGTGTGTACGTGTGTATGTGTGTGTGTACGTGTGTATGCATGTGTGTGTATGTGCGTGTGTGTATGCATGTGCGTATATGTGTGTACGTTTGTGTGTACGTGTGTGTGTATGTGTGTGCATGTATGTGCGTGCGTGTACGTGTGTGTACATGTGTGTATGCATGTGCGTGTGTGTGTGTGCGTGTATGTGTGTGTGCGTGTATGTGTGTGTGTGCGTGTATGTGCGTGTGTGTGCGTGTGTGTGTATGTGCGTGCGTGTATGTGCGTGTACGTGTGTGTGTATGTGTGTGTATGTGCCTGCGTGTACGTGTGTGTACGTGTGTGTGTATGTGCGTGCGTGTATGTGCGTGTACGTGTGCGTGTACGTGTGCGTGTACGTGTGTGTGTATGTGTGTGTATGTGTGTGTATGTGCCTGTGTGTACGTGTGTGTACGTGTGTGTGTACGTGTGTGTGTATGCATGTGTGTGTGTGTGCGTGTGTGTGCGTGTATGTGTGTGTACGTGTGTGTACGTGTGTGTGGTAGTGTAGTGGTTTGCGCGCTGCGCTACGAACCCGACGACCCGGGTTCGATTCCCGCTCACGGCCAACACCGGTGACGATTATCTGAACCAGTCCTGGGCCTCCTCTAGGTCGACTCAGCCTAAATTGAGTACCTGGTGCGGTGTGTAGTAAACATCGCCACTGGGGAGACAAAGGCGGTCGGGCGTGGTGCTGGCCACCCTCCCCCTCGTGTACCGTTCCGGCCTTCATAGGTGCTCGCTAACAGCAGCCCTTGCCCCTACAGTCTGTTAAGCCTACACGGGGGATCTTTGTCTTTGAGTGTGCGTGCGTGTGAGCTTGTATGGGCGTCCGTACGTGCGGGGGCTGGCACTGCACCACGAGCTCCACCTCCGGCACGTCGAGGCCGCGAGCCGCCACGTCGGTGGCCACCAGAACGCGGATGGCACCGGAGCGGAACGCGCGCAGACACGCCTCCCTCTGCTGCTGTGGTACGTCACCGTGCAGACACTGAGCCTCCTGTTAAACACACAGACAGTGAGATACATACACAGAGACACAGACACACACTGAGACACACAGTGGGACACGGAGACACAGACACGCCTCCCTCTGCTGCTGTGGTACGTCACCGTGCAGACACTGAGCCTCCTGTTAAACACACAGACAGTGAGATACATACACCGAGACACAGACACACACTGAGACACACAGACACTGAGACACACAGTGGGACACGGAGACACAGACACGCCTCCCTCTGCTGCTGTGGTACGTCACCGTGCAGACACTGAGCCTCCTGTTAAACACACAGACAGTGAGATACATACACCGAGACACAGACACACACTGAGACACACAGACACTGAGACACACAGTGGGACACGGAGACACAGACACGCCTCCCTCTGCTGCTGTGGTATGTCACCGTGCAGACACTGAGCCTCCTGTTAAACACACAGACAGCGAGATACATACACCGAGACACAGACACACACTGAGACACACAGACACTGAGACACACAGTGGGACACGGAGACACAGACACGCCTCCCTCTGCTGCTGTGGTACGTCACCGTGCAGACACTGAGCCTCCTGTTAAACACACAGACAGTGAGATACATACACCGAGACACAGACACACACTGAGACACACAGACACTGAGACACACAGTGGGACACGGAGACACAGACACGCCTCCCTCTGCTGCTGTGGTACGTCACCGTGCAGACACTGAGCCTCCTGTTAAACACACAGACAGCGAGATACATACACCGAGACACAGACACACACTGAGACACACAGACACTGAGACACACAGTGGGACACGGAGACACAGACACGCCTCCCTCTGCTGCTGTGGTACGTCACCGTGCAGACACCGAGCCTCCTGTTAAACACACAGACAGTGAGATACATACACCGAGACACAGACACACACTGAGACACACAGACACTGAGACACACAGTGGGACACGGAGACACAGACACGCCTCCCTCTGCTGCTGTGGTACGTCACCGTGCAGACACCGAGCCTCCTGTTAAACACACAGACAGTGAGATACATACACCGAGACACAGACACACACTGAGACACACAGACAGTGGGACACACAGACACTGAGACACAGACACACACAGACACCGAGACACACAGACAGTGGGACACTGAGACACAGACACACACTGAGACACACAGACACTGAGACACACAGACAGTGGGACACTGAGACACAGACACACACTGAGACACACAGACACTGAGACACACAGACAGTGGGACACTGAGACACAGACACACACTGAGACACACAGACACTGAGACACACAGACACTGAGCCTCCTGTTAAACACACAGACAGTGAGATACATACACACAGACACACACTGAGACACACAGACACTGAGACACACAGTCACTGAGACACTGAGACACAGACACGCCTCCCTCTGCTGCTGTGGTACATCACCGTGCAGACACTGAGCCTCCTGTTAAACACACAGACAGTGAGATACATACACCGAGACACAGACACACACCGAGACACACAGACACTGAGACACACAGTGAGACACTGAGACACAGACACGCCTCCCTCTGCTGCTGTGGTACGTCACCGTGCAGACACTGAGCCTCCTGTTAAACACACAGACAGTGAGATACATACACCGAGACACAGACACACACTGAGACACACAGACAGTGGGACACACAGACACTGAGACACACAGACACTGAGACACTGAGACACAGACACGCCTCCCTCTGCTGCTGTGGTACGTCACCGTGCAGACACTGAGCCTCCTGTTAAACACACAGACAGTGAGATACATACACTGAGACACAGACACACACTGAGACACACAGACAGTGGGACACACAGACACTGAGACACAGACACACACAGACACCGAGACACACAGACAGTGGGACACTGAGACACAGACACACACTGAGACACACAGACACTGAGACACACAGACAGTGGGACACTGAGACACAGACACACACTGAGACACACAGACACTGAGACACACAGACACTGAGCTTCCTGTTAAACACACAGATAGTGAGATACATACACTGAGACACAGACACACACTGAGACACACAGACAGTGGGACACACAGACAGTGAGACACTGAGACACAGACACGCCTCCCTCTGCTGCTGTGGTACGTCACCGTGCAGACACTGAGCCTCCTGTTAAACACACAGACAGTGAGATACACACACTGAGACACAGACACACACTGAGACACAGACACACACTGAGACACAGACACACACTGAGACACAGACACACACTGAGACACACAGTGGGGCACACAGACACTGAGACACAGACACACACAGACACACACCGAGACACACACCGAGACACACAGACACTGAGACACACAGACACTGAGACACAGACACACACTGAGACACACTGAGACACACACCGAGACACACAGACAGTGGGACACACAGACACTGAGACACACAGACACTGAGACACTGAGACACAGACACGCCTCCCTCTGCTGCTGTGGTACGTCACCGTGCAGACACCGAGCCTCGACGGCCCCCACTGTGTGGTAGTGTGGTGTGGTGTGGTACAGTGTTGTACTGTACCAAACTGTCACCCACGTGGTACAGTGCGGTACAGTGCGGTACAGTGCGCCACCGCACCTGCGCAATGGCCGGGCTGAGCGCGAGCTCGGCCGCCTCCTTCTTGGTCTCGCAGAAGACGATGGCGCGACCTCGCGATGACCCCACGGAGGCGACCCCGTGACCTCCCGATGACCCCACGGGGTTGACCGCGTGACCTCCCGGTAACCCTGCAGCGTACACCCGCAGCACGGAGCCCAGGCAGACGGCACGCTCCGAGCGTGGGCAGCACACGGCCAGGTGCTGTGTCCGAGAGACACGGAGAGACACACGGTGAGAGAGAGCCACGCGGTGAGACACGCGCGTGGTGAGAGACACGCGCCGACATGCAGAGGCCTGGCCGGGTGCTGCCTCGCACAGACACGGGGTGAGAGACATGCGGCGAGACAGTCACGGAGACACGGCCGGGTGCTGCCTCACACAGACACGCAGTGAGACGGAGACGCAGTGAGAGAGACGCGATGAGACAGACGTGCGATGAGCGACACGCGGTGAGAGACACGGAGATACGGCCAGGTGCTGCCTCACACAGACATGGGGTGAGAGACACGCGGTGAGAGAGACACGTGGTGGGAGAGAATCACAGCACATGGCCAGGTGCTGCCTCGCACAGACACGGGGGGAGAGAGAGACACGCGGTGAGAGAAACACGGTGAGAGAGAGACACGGTGAGAGAGACGATGAGAGACACGATGAGAGAGAGAGACACGATGAGAGAGACACGCGGTGAGAGAAACACGGTGAGAGAGACACGCGGTGAGAGAGACACGGTGAGAGACACGGTGAGAGAGACACGGTGAGAGAGAGACACGGTGAGAGAGAGACACGCGTTGAGAGAGACACGTGGTGAGAGAGACACGGTTGGAGAGACACGCGGTGAGAGAGACACGGTGAGAGACACGGTGAGAGAGAGACACGCGATGAGAGAGAGACACGGTGAGAGACACGAGGTCAGAGAGACACGGTGAGAGAGACACGGTGAGAGACACGAGGTGAGAGAGACACGGTGAGAGAGAGACACGCGTTGAGAGAGAGACACGGTGAGAGAGAGACACGGTGAGAGAGAGACACGGTGAGAGAGAGACACGGTGAGAGAGACACGGTGAGAGAGAGACACGGTGAGAGAGAGACACGGTGAGAGAGAGACACGGTGAGAGAGAGACACGGTGAGAGAGAGACACGGTGAGAGAGAGACACGGTGAGAGAGAGACACGGTGAGAGAGATACACAGTGAGAGAGAGACACGGTGAGAGAGAGACAGTGAGAGAGACACGGTGAGAGAGACACGGTGAGAGAGACACGGTGAGAGAGACACGGTGAGAGAGACACGGTGAGAGAGACACGGTGAGAGAGAGACGGTGAGAGAGATACGGTGAGAGAGACACGGTGAGAGAGACACGGTGAGAGAGACACGGTGAGAGAGACACGGTGAGAGAGAGACGGTGAGAGAGAGATACGGTGAGAGAGAGACACGCGGTGAGACAGCCACTGTGAGAGACACGGTGCGAGAGAGACACGATGAGAGAGACACGGTGAGAGAGACACACTGAGCGGTAAAGAGAGACAATGAGAGACACGTGGTGAGAGAGACATGGTGAGAGAGATACGGTGAGAGAGAGACGTGGTGAGAGAGACACGGTGAGAGAGAGACACGGTGAGAGAGAGACACGGTGAGAGAGAGAGACATAGTGAGAGAGAGACATAGTGAGAGAGAGACACGGTGAGAGAGAGAGACGTGGTGAGAGATACACGGTGAGAGAGACACGGTGAGAGACACGCGTTGAGAGAGACACGGTGAGAGAGAGACACGTGAGAGAGAGACACGGTGAGAGAGACACGGTGAGAGAGACACGGTGAGAGAGAGACACGGTGAGAGAGAGACACGATGAGAGACACGATGAGAGAGAGAGACACGATGAGAGAGACACGTGGTGAGAGAGACACGCTGAGCGGTAAAGAGAGACGATGAGAGACACGGTGAGAGAGACATGGGGGGGGAGAGATACGCGGTGAGAGAGACACGGTGAGAGAGAGACACGGTGAGAGAGAGAGACACGGTGAGAGAGAGACGGTGAGAGAGAGACACGGTGAGAGACACGGTGAGATAGACACGATGAGCGGTAAAGAGAGACGATGAGAGACACGTGGTGAGAGAGACATTGGGGGGGGGGAAGACATGCAGTGAGAGACACGGGGGGGAGGGGGCCACGGAGACAAGGGGTGAGAGACGGAGACACAGGGGGGTGGAGACACAAAGACATGGGGAGGAGACACAGGGACACGGGGTGAGACACAGACACACGGGGGGAGAGACAGAGTGAGAGACATGGGGGGGGGGTGGGGTGGAGACACGGGGTGAGACAGACACGGGCGGAGAGAGACATACAGTGACACATGGAGGGGGGGGGGGACGTGGTGAGACATGGGGACGCACACTTTATATACACTCAGGCCGCCACCAATCTAAAACCATTTTTATTGCATCAGGTAAAGGCCCCACTGAACCGCGTGGCTCTTTATCAGAAGTGACCTGGCCATCACAAATTAAAGCCCAATGAAGTGGATTTATCACCACGAAAACATTTATGGCAGTGAAAACTCTAAATGCGTGACGCCGATTCTAAACGTGGTGGGCAAAAAACCCGAGGACCTGGAGAAAAATCCACACGACCACGGGGAGAGAGACTCAAAATATAAATCAGGCGTCAGGGTCGGGATCGAACCCACGACCTCCTGCATACCAGGCGAGGTATTAAACATCTCCTAGCCACTACGGCGCCCAATCGTTCACCCACTCATCTAAACTGACAAAGACAAGTGCTGTTAGAGAATGACAGCACACAAGGGGGGTAAAGGTTTACATTATGAGACCTCCTTTGCCAGTAGCAAGATATAGTAAAAGGGTAAAAACCTATTACTAAATCTTGCTACTGGCAAAGGACGTCTCATAATGTAAATGCTCACCCCGAGCTCTCAATACTCTGATAGTGCGCTGTTTTTGAGTTGTACGCCTTTTGGCGTCATCTGGTCCAACACCAGTGGAGACTGGGCTCTAAGAAAAGTCGTCTCGGGTGTGGACCAATCAAATTCAAGGACAGTGCCAATACATTATCAGAGTTGTCTCTTTTTGTTTGCATTTTGACTGCTTGTGTTGTGGTTATTGCAAACATGATCCCTTGTATAAAGGTGTCAGTTTTGGTGCCAGATAAAAGGGTAAAAACCTATTACTACTGGGGGTAAGGTTGTCAGCATCACGCCCGGCTGCCTTTGTCTCCCCTAGTGGCGATGTTGAGAACATAAGCTGCCTGGGCATGTGGTGGCTGGGCATGTGGTGCTATGTGACCCAGCCAATGCAGCTTCCTCGCCTGCCAGGGGAGCTCACTGGTAGATTGCCTGCCAGAGGAGCTTCATCACTGAGCTCCTCTGGCAGGCGATCTATGAGCTCACACTGCAATCCAGCCCTGCAGGTGAAACCCAGGAACGATTTTGTAGGCACACCAACCTGAATGTTTCTACACACACACACGATCCCCCTCGTCTAGTCTTAACAGACTGTTGGGGAAATTGCTGTTAGCAAGCAGCATCTATGATGACCGGCACGCTGGTAAACAAGGGGGGGTGAGTGGCCAGCACCACGCCCAGCCGCCTTTGTCTCCCCAGTGGCGATGTTTACACACCGCACCAGGCACTCATGTGAGGCAGAGTAGACCTCGGGGAGGCCCAGGACCGGTTCAGATAATCGTCACCACTGGTGGCCGTGAGCAGGAATCGAACTCGGGTCTCTGCCGGGTTCGTAACGCAGCGTAGCGCTAACCGTGACACTACCACTCCCCACACGCACACCTACACACACAACAACAACAACCGCCATTCGCCACTAAGTGGCGGTGACGTCACCACGACGCTTGTGCCAGGCCATGTGCACCTTGAGGCCACGTGAAGTGTCGAACGCCCGCTGGCAGGAGGTCACGGGGCAGACCCAGGTGCCACGGGTCGACTGAGATGACTGGCTGATGCACCACCTGTGCCCCCTACTGTGCCAACCTGCTGTGCTTTTGCCACCCGGCGCTCCGCTCGTTGTTGTGAGCGTCGCTCCTCCGCCCTCCGTTGTTGTTGGAGGACGACTACCTCCAACTGCCCAGCAGCGTCCTTCACGAGCCTCCTCCACAGAGGCCGATCTTGACACCGCTGGTACCAGTCATCTTCAATTCCACTCAAATCCACGTACTCCTGTACCACATCACTCCATCTCTTCTCTAGCCCGTGCCGCACCCGTTTTGCCCCCTTGATCCGGCCGAACAAAAGCTGTTTCGGCATGCGGTGGCTGGGCATGCGGGCTACATGACCCAGCCAACGCAGCCTTGCCTGCCGGAGGAGCTCACCGATGGGACCGTGCCCAGATCTTTCAAGGATTTGTGAGCTCCTCACACAATCCAGCCTGGTTAAACCCAGGTTGGATCGTAGGCAGGCCAGCCTAAATGTTTCTAACCAGCGAAGATGTTCCATTAGGGGGGTCCACGTTTCGCAAGTGTAGAGAAGGGAGGGAATGACCGTGGCTGAGAAGACCTGAAGCTTAGTGCGGAGCGACAGCCCAGGTAGCTTCCACACAGCGTTACGCAACCGATGAAAAGATACTGCCGCTCGACTGATTCGGAGTGAGACCTCTGCTGTTAAACTGGAGCCGGTCATAAACACACTGCTCAGGTATGGGAAACAAACTCTCCACTCTCTCCACAACTACCCCATCACCGATTGGGAGTTGTGGGGGTGGAGTGTCCGATGGTACAAAATACCCAGGCAAGTGCTTAGTTTTGGTGGGGCTGATGGTAAGGCCCCATATCTCTTAGTAGCACGCTCCAGTCTCAGCAGCAGCGTCTCCAACTCCTCTGAATGAGCAGCTATTACAAAGTCATCGGCATACATAACGTGGTTGAGCAATAGGGAGCCATCCCTTGACCGCACCCGGGCATAAATCAGCCTCCCATTAAATCTGTACCATATGAAGATTCCCCCGGTACAGCTATTTAAGTCTTCACGAACTACGTGGTCAAAATAGATGTTAAATAATGTGGGAGCCAGAGGACATCCCTGTCACACCCCAATGTGTAGAGAGAATGGCTCTGACTCCCGGCCACGTAGTTTTACCTGGGCCCGCTCACCATCATGAAGGTCCTTAATGATCGTGAGCAGAGGGTCAGGGACTCCAAAAGCTCGAAAAACAACCCAGAGCCCAGGCCTACTGA